TACTGTCATTCTGTTGTACTACCTGATTTCCCAGAAAGTGGCAATTGGTGCCACTGGGTTCCACATCTCAATGTGATCAGCTTGAAAGAAGCATAGGAGAGTCTGCAAAACAAAAGAAAAACAAATTACTTCAAGCATTTACATGCCCATATCCAGATTTTGCGTCATACTGAGTCGCTGTAGTGATCAGCATCTACATCTAAATTCTTGTTAGAAAATCAATTAATAATAATACATATTTATTATTCGATTAAGTCTGAATAGGGAATGTGAACTAACTAAAGTATACATAATGTGTACCTCAGCTGCTTCATGTCTGATTTCAGATGGTAAAGTTGGTGTTAACATGAGGTTGACCACACCCATTATTACTTGGGTTGAGTTCTTTTGAATCTCCCAGCCATGAAGATCAGGATTCTGTGAACAAAAAAAGGTGCTGTAGTGATTATTGTAAATACATTAGACGATGGATAATAAGACTTTTGGAACTATTAAATGAATCAACTTACATGAAAAGCAAAAACAGGATCTGCATGAAAAATTTTCACCAGCCACAGCAACAACTCTTTGTCTTGCTTCTTGTTAGAATGCAGCTCATCTTCCTTGTGCCTTTTCTCTTTCACTTTGTAGATCTACAAAGAATATATATAACTGCTAAAGCAGATTGTGAAGGTTTGGTTGGTTATATTAAAACAACTGATTTGCTTAGTCACTAGCCTGTGTTTTTGGATATTGTTTTGTGTGCATGCACATATTTCTTTGCTATGCTAGTTATTTCTCGCAGAATTCAATGTTTGTTTTGTCTGTTTGTATGCTTCACTGCAGAAGTAATGGTTTGTTTCTTATCTTTTAACTTTGCTTTTTTTCCCATTGTTTGCAAGCTTATGCTTTTATATTTGCTTAGTTCTTTGTTACAATGGCTTATCAATAGTTCACCATCATGATTTCTGTTCGTTTACCTGTTTGTTAGCTTGCTTACCTGTTCAATGTTTGCTTTCTTATTTGTTTGTTTGTATTTCTTTGTTTGCTTGCTTATTTGTTTGTCTGTCTGTCTGTCTGTCTGTCTGTCTGTCTGTCTGTGTGTTTGATTGTTTGTTAGTCTGTTTGTTTGTTTGTTGTCTGTGTTTGTCTGTTTGTTGTCTGTTTGTTTACACTGACCTGGCTCAGCCTTGACTGTTGTCCCTCCTGTTCAGCATTCTGAACCTTATTACAAATACTCTGAAATGAAAAAAGCACACACTCACTTGTAAAACACCAGCTCTTAACCCATACCCCTCATTTGAATGTCCAAATCATAATTGTGTGGTTCAAGAAAAATATCCCTGGCCACCTACAGTGAATCATTGGAAATTCCAGGAGAGTGGCGATATCAAAGGTCAAAACTTTTAAGGGCCAGTGTGAAGCAAAACTGGAATTTCCAGAGGGGTGGACTCATACATACATACATACATACATACATACATACATACATACATATATTTTTGATGAGGCAGGTCTGCATATGGCAACCCAGAGGGCTGGTGTGGACCTGCCTCAAACCCTCTGTGGATATTTTCAATAGCAATTTTGTGAGCCACTGTGCCTCTAACTGTTAGCAATGGCTAAAATCATAATGTACATGGAAGATGTATCAGACACCTCACACCTAGCAATGTAAGACAAAAATTACACAGTACTAGGAACTAGAGTATTAACATACCAAGAAGATATGTCTGAGAGCTTGGGCTTTAGGATGAAGTACTTCAGCCCTAGGCCACCAACTCAGAGGAGTCTAGACAAAAGGTGGAAGTAAAAGGTAAAGTCAATTGTCAAGAAATTTGAGATACACGACATACTATGAAAGAAAGGCCTGTTGTCCAACACCAGACCTCTATGGACTAGTAGATTTAGCACGCTTTCCAATACAACTGGTCACGCCAACTGTTGCAAAGTAAAATCACATTCTCTGGTCAAACTGGGTTAGCTAACCAAGTTGAATGGCTCATATCATAACTTTGCATTCTTATCCCCAATCTTCTGCATGTGTGAAAATCTACTTAACATCTGGAAACATAAGGCAATGAACCAGTTTGTTGAAGTGGAGCACTCTATTTTGGACCAACTTCTCTAACCAATCAAATTAGATCAAAAGTCCAATTTGATTGGTTTCTTTGATGGTGATTGACAGGTGCCCTTTTATACTCAAGCATGTCCAGAACCTTTGGGTAAATGCTTAACACAAATGATCTACAATAGCTAACTAAAAAAAGTAAATGAAGATTGTGGATCACAAGTGGATCACAGATTTAACTATGCCAGTTTACTTTTGCCCTGATTTATAGCATACTGCACCTCTTTCACAATGGCATAAGTTCCTTTCACATAGACAAAATGGTAGATGATGGGAGAGTTTGGCTGGAGGCAGATGTCAAAATGCTGGTTGTTTCTGTAGTTGATTCGGAAACTTGACACAAAGCAATCAACCATTAGCTGCTCTGTTGTGAAAAAGCTGCCAGATCCTAAAGAGAATGGCTTGCTTACATTGAAGAGTAATGCCTGAAAAAAGCACAATGATTGTGTTACAAAACGATAATCAACTTTATTCATCTACAGCTGATAAATGTAACTGCAATTTTGTAAATCAAACTGGTATTAAGAGAAAGAGAATTTTAAAAGCTTACATAAAGTATTTTGCAAGAAGTAAATTTCCGTTTTTTAAGACAGAGTTGCAAACACGTGAATGTACTTAAGTCGAGTTTAAAAGTTTCCCATATTCCAAAGAGAAGGGTGCAAAGCACTTGAGAAATTCAGAAATTATGATTAGGGTTAATTACAGTTTAGCTTCATACTTTCCTTAAAATTTTTCAGCTTTAAAAACCTCACCACCAACCTCAGAATTTTCAATGACCTTCAAAGGGATGGGTATGGATATTTTCTGAACCCACACATTGCCAAAATGTAGACTTCCATTTTTAGCATGAAGTGACTCGAGGGGTATGGCTACTCCTCTTTCAGGAGATGCTACTCAATAACGGATTACCTCTTGAGCATTTAGTCAGGTTTCTAAAATAAGTTTGCCAATACCCATCAGTGGAGAGAGGAACAATGAAAGTAACTCATTTTGCTTTACAACAGAGAAGGAGACTGTGCTTCAACTCTTAACCTCCCAATCCCAAGTCCAATAATTTAAGCAATGCTCAAATGACAACTGTATGAAAAAAGCACTGCACATTTCCATACCTTTAATTCATTGAGCATGGTGACAACCAGGAAGCAGAGCACAGAGTTGTCCTCAGGTTTCATGTAAGTTGCTACCTTGCAGAGTTTGACGCAAACTACGGCTGCACTCTCAGTCAGATGCTTAGTGCTGGTAAGCGCCTTCTTCAGGTGATCAAGAAACTCTTTCTAACAGAACCAAAGAGAACATGAGAGTTTACATGAACCCAAGTTATCTCCACAAGGAGACAAATTGAAATCTATTGGACAGGATTGATTTTGACAACACTTATCCACTGGTAGTGATTTAACTGGTGAACAACTTTGTACACCTTTTCAGCAACTGAACCAAGGGTACAGTTCACATGGGTATTTAATAGCAATTTCACTTCCATGAATTAATTTTTAAGTTATAAATTTCCCAAGACCTGAGAAGATGACAGAGCTTACCTTGTTGGCCTTGCTGACATCAAACACTTTTTCACTTGTAGCTATCTGTTCCAGCATGTTCTGATGAAAGAAAAAAATCTTCCTACTTGAATGTAAGAATAATTGAGGGCGAAAGATATTAAACTACATGTATACTGTAAATCAAGGACAGTTAATCTTGAGGAATTTTGCCAGTTGGGCTTTCATGATGAGTCTCTTATTCTCTAAAGGTTACCATCTTTTTTCCAAAAATAATTATTTTGGTCCATTATCAA